TAGCTAGAACTTCCAGTACAATGTTGAAAAGGAGTGGTGAGACAGAACATCTTCGCCTTTTGTGTGATCTTAATGGGAAAACTTTTAGTTTCTCAACATTAAGTATGGATGTACCTTTAAGCACAATGCTTTTCATTCAGGCTTTCTCAAACTGAGAGTGTTTCCCTCTATTCCTTGTTAACTAAGAATTTTTATCATGATTAAGTTTTGGATTTTGTCAAATGCCTTTTCTGCACTGATATACTGACATCATCATGTAATTTTTCTTACTTAGCCTATTAATGTGATAGAACACACTGATTTTCAAATGTTCAATCAGCCTTGCACACCTTGGGATAAATCTCCCTTGGTTGTGATTTAGTCTTTTTTTAAACATTATTGAATTTGATTTGTTAATATCATTTTTATAGATGAATATTTCATTGTAGGGATATATCACATTCTGTTTATTCATCAGTAGATGTACATGTGGATTATTTCCATTTTTTTGGTCTTGTGAATAATGCTTCAATGACGATTTGTGTGTACATTTGTGTGCACATAATTTTTCAGTTTTAATTGGTATATAGCTGGTATTGCAATTACTGGGTCATATGGCAACTCCAGATTTAATTTTTTTAAGGAGCTGCCAGAATGTTTTAAAAAGTAGTTGCACCAAGACACCTGGGTGGCTCAATTGGTTGAGTGTCCAACTCTTGGTTTTGGCTCAGGTCATGATCTCAGGGTCATGAGATCAAGCCCCATATTGGGCTCCACACTTAGTGGGAAGTTTGCTTGAGATTCTCTCTCTCCCTCTCCCACTGCCCATACTCCCACTCTTCCACCCTCTCAAAGAAATATATTTTTAAAAAGTAGCTGTACCATTTTGAAGTACAACCAGCACCTGCCCTCATCCTTGCAAATACTTGATATTGTCAGTCTTTTTGACTATAACTATTCTAGTGTAAAGTAGTACCTCATCGTGGTTTCACTTCACATTTCCCTAACTGCTGATGTTAAGAACCCTGCCCCATTCTAAAATCCAAATTTTAGAAAAATTGGATTTTTACTTTTTATGTTGAGTTATATGATTTGCAAATATCTTCTCCCACTTCATGGGTTGACTTTTTACTTTTCTGATGATATCCTTTGAATCATAAGCCTTAATTTTTTGATACTAATATATCTATTTTCTGTTTTGCTTGTGCTTTTGGCATCAAGTCGCAGAAACCATTGCTTAACCCAAGATCCCAAAGATTTGTTTCTGTTTACTTTTAGAAGTTTAATAGTTATAGTTCTCAAATTTAGATTATATTATGCATGAGATAGGGATCCAAATTCATTTTTAGGCTTGAGTATTACTAGTTGTGTCAGGGTTATTTGTTGAAAAGACTGTTTTTTTTTCACTGAATTGTTATGATTGATTTTTGAGTTAAACTAAACTTGCATTTATAGGATAAAACCCGCTTAGTGGCATGTAATGTTTTATATATGTTACTGGACTTGGTTTGCCACTATTTTGTTGAGGATTTTTGTATTCGTATTCATAAGGGATACTGGTCTATCATCACCTTGAAGTACCTTTGTCTGGTATCAAAACAATACTAGTCTTAGTAGAATGAGTTGGGAAGTGTTCCCTCCTCTAATATTTTTTGGAAAAATGGGCAGTTTCTTGATTTAACTTAATCTTTTTGCTTAAGTCTAGTCATATTTTCTGTTTCTTTAAGAGTCAGGTTTGGTTTTTTTTTTTTGTTTTGTTTTGTTTTGCATTTTATTTATTTGATACAGTGAGAGAGATCACAAGTAGGCATAGAGGCAGGTAGAGAGAGAGAGGGAAGCGGGCTCCCCGCTGAGCAAAGAGCCTGATGCAGTGCTCAATCCCAGAACCCTGAGACCATGACCTGAACCAAAAGCAGAGGCTTAACACTCTGAGCCACCCAGGCACCCCTAGAGTCAGTTTTGATAGTTTATGTCTTTCTAGGAATTTGTCCATTTCATCTAGGTTATTTTATACGTATTTGTTGGCTTGTAATTGTTCATAGTAACCCGTCATCCTTTTCGCATTAGTACTAGTATTTTCTCTGAGTAGAGTAACTTTTAAATGGTCTAATAATTATCACAGAATTTTGAAATTAATAAAAGCAAAGTTAGATATATAATGGACTGTTACAATTTTGGGTTTTTACAAATTCTGAGTTACAGGACATACAAACATATCCTTCCAGCTCTCACCTCTAGAACGGAAAAAGAGAGGCACAAATGCAGAACCTACACATTTTTAGTTAAAATACACCAAAGTTGGGGGGTGGGAGGTTGGGGGAGCCAGGTGGTGGGTATTAATGGAGGGCACGTATTGCATGGAGCACTGGGTGTGGTGCAAAAACAATGAATTCTGTTACACTGAAAAGAAATAAAATTAAATAAATAAATAAATAAATAAATAAATAAAATATACCAAAGTTGGTTCAACTGTATTAAAAGCAGCAGCCAACCACACTCACACTAACACATGCATATGCACACACTATAATAAACCCACTATGACAAATTCCAAAGGCATGAGCACTGTAAAATAATCATGTGCCAAACCTTCTCAATTTTTTGAACAGAGATTAATTCATCCCTTCATTTATTTCTTGAATTCAGGACCGTCAGAATTCTACACACTATGCTTTTTGAAATCATAGTTCACCTACTAATATATATGTGCATTAATGACCACATAAATTTTTATAGTCTCTGTGACCAAGAATCAGGTTCCCCGGAAGTCACAAAAACACGTTCAGATCTTATGACGATTCATAAATACATATTACATCTGATCTCTTCTCATAAAAAAGAATTTATAAAACCATCTGAGAGAAAAAGTTGTATATTTTCTAGTCTTTTCTTTCAACTGAACTATTCTTAAACTTTCTTCAAAGAACCTGGACTAATTATTATGCTGACTTTTTTTTTTTTAAAGATTTTATTTATTTATTTGACAGACAGAGATCAAAAGCAGGCAGAGAGAGAGAAGCAGGTTTCCTGCTGAGCAGAGAGCCCGATGCAGGGCTCGATCCCAGGACCCCAAGATCATGACCTGAGCCAAAGGCAGAGGCTTAACCCACTGAGCCACCCAGGCGCCCCTATGCTGACTTTTCTAAAATGAAATTCAACTACAAAATTTTGAAGACATTAAACAATATGACAAGACTTCAAGCTGTATTGATACCTTTGACACATTCAGGAGAAAACTATGCTTATCACCATATACCTGACTGGTACTCTAGTTTATAGAACACTTAGGTCTTTTTTATTTTAGTTGATTTTTTTTGGGGGGGGGAAACCCCAGGTTATAGGGCAGGTGATACTAATGTATTTTTTTTTAATTTAAACATTTTATTTTATGACACAATGAAAACTTCTTACTGCATTAACATCTTTATCATCTCATTAGAGAGGAGACCAAATTGAAGTTCCCACAGATTAGATGACCTGCCCAAGGTCACAGAGCTCCAGAGTGGTAATGGTGGGAGCAGGAAATCCAGTCCCCTGACTCCCAGTCACACATCTCCTCTGTGTGACACTGCTTCTCACTTAGAAAAAACAAGAGGCAAAAACTTAGAACACAAAGTGTGTTTAAGATGAAAAGTTCCAGTAACTCTCCCTCAACCTTTTCTCTAAAAGAATGTTTATTTTGAATGTTTAGGAATCACTCTCCTTATCTAACTTTGTTATCAACAACTTGACTAAAAGCCTATTTTTCATAATCTGATATTGAGTCTTCAGTGACCTGCAACCTGTCAACTTCACAGACATACTTAATAACCTTAAGAGCAGTCTTCAGAGCTTAGCTCTACAAGAGACTTTTAAAATATTAAACAACATGAAGAAATCCCCTTTCAAGCAATTTTGAGGCCAAATTAGCTCATGTGTCACTGAATGTTCTTCTACACAACAGTGATTTAAAACCTCATTCTTTGCAACTAATGAATCGTTGAACACTACATCAAAAACTAATGATGTACTGCTATATGTTGGCTAACTGAACATAATAATAATTAAAAAACCCTCAGTCTTCTAGCTCTGTAGATAGCTATTTATTAGTGATTAGAGATAATTAATACCAATGACCATGACCCAAATATTTTCTATACACTTAAGAAAGCTGGAACATATTATCTGCCCATGCAACCATACTGTTGTTCGATCACAGCACAAAGTACTCAATGAAAATGTAAATCACGGCATATGGGTGTTATAGCAGTCAGCATTCACCCAGCATAGGACAAAGTTCTTCTGATTCCTCTGACACATAGGCCTAAGTACAAATTATTTATCTTCCTTTCTCCTCAGAGAAACCAACATTTACTTATAATCTAAAAGGTCATCAAGAGTTAATATGATTTTAGAGACAATGTATCCTAAGACCCTAACCATGGGTCACACACCCATGGGTTAAAATGGAGATTGCGGTCATAAATCTACACTTTAGCCTAGTGACTGACGGACTTCAGTCCAAAACGATACTGTCCTATAGGGCATTTATAATTATTGGGGTGGGGGCGAGAAAAATATCTGAGGAAGCTCTTGTGGGGGGAGGATTAAAGTACACTGAGTGTGATGACCACTGAGTAATGTATACAATTGCCGAATCGTTACACTGCACACCTAAAACTAACACTGTATGTTAACGATATTGGAATTAAAATTAAAAACATAGAAAAAGGAAGGTGATTTAAGTCTTCGCTGCTCCCCATATCCACACCAGTGACATGAGGAATTTGAAAAAATCTTCACTTTGGCCAGAGATTTCCTGGGAGAATCTGAGGAAGAAGAAATACTAGTTGCTTCCCCGCTGCCTTGACCCTAGTTGTGGCAGCAACATTCTCTCAATTTGCCTGACCATTTACAAAAAGACAGGTGGTCCTTCTCCCACTACACTGCTACCATCAAGACAGCAAAGGAGTTACTAAAAGTACAAGATCCCAAAGGGCATCTAAGAGAAAGTGCACAAAGAGACTATGCTGGGATCTTACCTTTTGGCTTCCTCTAGGTGGCACAGATATTCATAAGCAATGTTCTGCCGCCTCCTCTCATCCATCTCTTCTGCGGAGAGCCTTTCATCATCCACAATAGCTAAAAATAGAGGAGAGCATCACGTTACTTGTAAGGGCAGTGAACATCAAATAAACACCTGAGATAACAACTAGGAAAAAAAACTCACCAATTCAACAATGGACACTAAAGACGGGGTATTGAAACATCAGGCACAGAAAGATTTGCCTTAGGATTATTACAGTATGTCTTTGCTAGCAATAAAATAAAGTGCAGTATGGGTTAAAATTACTCCATAGAATGAGAAAAGCCATCATAGTTCATAGACATGATGCCATAGAATTTAGACAGCCTCAAATCAATTAGAGGATGGTCCACTTGCAACAACTTTCCTTAACAAGCTTGTAGAATTGGCCCAGAGGCTCAGGTTGGACCTTCCTGAAAATTCTGAGGTTTAACAAATAATCTACAAGGGCATGTGTTTTCCCATTCCTGAAGGGATTTAAAGCTTCTCATGCAATGCAAACTCTGTTTTATAGATGCCAACATCTCTGAGATTCCTCTTTCACATGTTTCTTGTCCTTTGTGAGGCTAACCCTCCTGGTCAACAGGTATCCAAAAGTTCAAATCAAAGGAGACATCAAGTGAGCAGTTTCCAAGCCCACACAGTTTATTCCAACATAAACCTAGTTTATAAGCTTCCACAATTCAGCTTTGTTTTTCTGTAGAGAACACGGCCTCCCCATTTCCTGAGTGCATGTCCTCTGCCCAGATTCTCAACAGCACTCAACTATCACATCAACCAACTCCTAGCTGTCTATTTTCATGACAACATTCCTTTCCCATAAAAAGGAACTTCTTTTCCTTCTTTAATCCTGACCTTTAATTCTGATAGCTAGAAAATCAATTTGGTTTCCAGTTTGTTCCATTACTCATCTAATGAACACTAAGGTAAGTGTGTAGCAGTGAAATGGGTCACGTGGGGCAGGAAAGTCCATATGCTCTTTTCTTCCCCCTGTCACCAGCTCCAATCAGCCATTTCATAAACGAGACCCCTGGTTCTATGCAGAAGAGTGAAGTTCAGCCGTCCATCCTTTAAAAAGCTAATCCCATGCCCTACCAATGAGGAGTCCAAAGTATCATCGTGGCAGACAAAAGGAATGCAGATCAAGTTTTGAACTGTTACTGGAGCAAGTACAATGCTGAATGCTTAAGACCTAAAACTAATATCAGAACCCTTGAAAAATTCAAAAGAGAAGGGCTTAAATTCACATCAGTATAAAATATGGCAGAATTCCACAAGCATATAAGAACATGTTAGATGCTTATTTATCAAGTGCTTACTTTGTTTCAAGTCCTCAGGCTGTGTTTCTTAGGAACTGTCTCATGTGAGTCCTGTGACACTATGAGGCAGGTAGTTTGTCCCACCTCACAGAGTAAACATGTTTGAAGTCATTTGCCCAAGTGAAAAGTAGAAACATAAAGGCTAGAAATGTATGGGTAGAATGGAAAAAACAAACAAAACCAGTATGAAAGAACTTAGGGAAATATCTCTTCTTATAGATGAGGAAGAAAAGGAACTAGAAGGGAGAGGGGAGATATGGAAGAGTACCAGGACAGTCTTGGAATAACAAACCTGGGGCCAAAGAAGCAGGAGTCTCTGCACATCTCACCATCCTTTTCTTACCCTCCCTTCCTACCACTCTCAGCTTCCCAGTGTGGCTCCACTCCTTGAAAACATCCCAGACCAATGGTATCAAGAAGGGTCAGCAAAGACTTGTGTTTCTCAAAAGCATCTTCTTTTTCTCAATAAACTCAATCCGATCTGAACTTTAGAGGAGAGCCCTCAAGTTTCAGACAAGTACCAGCTCTGGAACCACCCTCTTCTGCTCCTCCACCTCAAGATCCCAGGTCTTCATTGTCTCTCCCCTGGACTCTTGCGACCACCCTCAAAGAGCCTGGTAGCCACCCCTCCTTCACCCATTCTCCTCTCCACCATCAGAGCATCTTCTGAACACAAGTCCTACAGGTATTCCTCTCCCTCCCAAGACCTGCGATGGATCCCCATTTCCTCTGGAACAGAGCTCTAGCAGACCTTCCCGTCCCTGCCCGACAAGAAGACTACATTCCAGCCACTTCTTCCAGAGAGCGCAACATTCCAGCATCACGCCAGGACTTTTTAGGTTCTAGCGCTTCTGTACTCCACTCTGTCTCTGCCTGGAAAGCCATTCTCCCACCTTCTGTGTGTGACATCTTCTCAAGAAAAATTCTGTGGATCTCCAAGTGAGGATCCACCTACTTTCCTCAGCACTTTGGTTCACCTCTCTATTACATCATTCATCACAGACGGTCAGTCACATCTCCTGCTATAACATGGGGTTCTTCTGTACAGGAAAGGACTCTTGATTCAACTCCATGCCCCCCTCACATTGATCACAGTTCCCTGTACACAGAGAACAACAACCATGTGCTGGAAAATTACCTTCATGAAGTGAGCTCCCCATCATCCCTATATTTTGCAAATTATGCTTTTTCTTATCCTGAGGTCTCTACAAGGTAACTGGCATGCCCACATACCCTCACCTATTCCTCCCTCTCCACTGGTCCTAACACTTCATCCCCAGGACATGTCATGATTTCCAGTTTCTTGGTTTGATTTCAGTCTAAATATGGTCTCCTATTTCTGGCAAGATACTTTCATTTTACAGTAACTTCACACATTAAAGTTTGAAAACAATATAAAACTCCTAGTATGAGTCCACGCAATCATCCTACGCTTCTCAACTTTTAAGTAGGAAGGCAGGAGTCACATTCTAAAGGAGCCACTCTCCCTGCCACCTTCCTTTTTGGCTGCTACCTCCTTCTACCTCAATCAACCCACCCAGGAGGAAGCAGAAACCTCAACAGTAGTACTTCGTTCCTAGGCCTCGACCCTTAACTCCCTGCACAAGCCACCCAAGAATCCACCAGTCCAAGGAGAGGTACTGGGGAGCTCTCAAACAGTGACATCACCCTGTCCAAAGAGAAGATTTGACTTAATGTTTCAATTAACACATACACACACCCACAAAGCTTTCAACGGCAGTTCCAACATATTGGCCACAGCTGATAGAATTCTGCCCATCCTTACAGCTCAACTCAGTCACTTCCTTCTATAAGTCTTCCTTGTTTGCTCCCACTCAAAATGTGCTCTCTCCTAGCACCTCCTATATGGTTTCTTTTAATAGTCAGCTCCTAGAAGGCAAATTTATGTCCTCAACGTGTCCAGCTCACTACCCTGCACAGGCTATGTGCTCTGTAAGACTACATGACAAACAAATGATCTCTTATGAGGAATGGTTCATATAAAGGATCTAAAATATCATTATAATTAAACACCTGAAAGTGTGACATAATTGCAGGATGCTTAGATAGGTGAGGATATACTCCCTCCAGTGGAGGAAGGGTCAGCAAGAATCACGAACACCAGGGCACATGGGTGGCTCAGTGGTTTAAGCCCCTGCCTTCGGCTCAGGTCATGATCTCAGGGGCCTGGGATCGAGCCCCACATTGGGCTCTCTGCTCAGCAGGGAGCCTGCTTCCTCCTCTCTCTCTGCCTGCCTCTCTGCCTACTTGTGATCTCTCTCCGTCTCTCTCTGTTAAATAAATAAATAAATAAAATCTAAAAAAAAAAAAAATCATGAACACCAGGACCAGGAATCTGTTTGATGATATGGTAGGACTTAAAACATGTCCCTTTAAGGAAAAGCAGGTTAAAAATATGGTATCGTATTCATAGAAAGTCATTAATTCATAGAAATTTCATCAATTCATAGAAGTATACTAGCGTTTAGCATTTTACACACACATAATTATTCTGGGTGACTCAAACTTTAAGGAGCCCTGGAAATCTTCAGTCCTGAATATGTCATTCAATTCGAATGTGTATTGAAACAGCTTGTAACATTTGAGATCAGCTTTTAGCCTGAAGAGCATAGCCAAGTGGTTATCTCCCCATTCTCGGGACTTAAAGAATGGCTACCAGAGATGTATACACCAAAGAAGGAACTCAAAGGAAGAGAACTGATTCCAAGAGCCTAAAATGGGCAAGGGACAGGGGTGGGATATAAAGATGAGAGAATCTAAGTTCAAAATTTCCACTAAGGCAAAACAGTCAGTAAACTTGACCCATGATATATTCTGGCTTCACACCAGCTTCCCGAAGCATTCCCCAGCTACCTGATCTTAACACGATCCGACATCCCTTATCTGAATTGTCTTTTGAAAAAGAGGCAAAACTGAGGTTGCTATATCTCCGCAAAGAGTAAAATTAATTTTGGCCCACTGTGCAAATATGAAGAATGTCTACACTTTTTTTTTTATAGTCTAGAAATTCAAAGCAGGCCATAGAGATTATTAAGGTCCACCCTGCAGACTGGGATGGGAAGGATTAGGGGAAGAACTAAAGGCAATGATTGCTAGATTTGGGATTTCTTAATTATTATTTCAGAAAAATAGTTGAGGAGCAAGAAGACTTACTTTCCTTCCACGTAGGCACAAGTAAAGTTCCATTAGTTCACTGCCTGCTCCTACACACTCCATCATCCTTACACAGATCTCAGTAAGGAAGAAAGGACTGTCAAGTTTCCAAGACCAGTTTAAAAATTTTAGCTCCAACAGTTAAAATAACAGGAGGAATTGTAAAACCTTTCGTCTGGATGAGCTTCTATTATTTTTAAAAGAAGAGAAAGGAATTCAAGTCATCTCTACTTGAGTATCAACTTTTTATTCTTAAGATGGTCAGTGCAAAATGTTCCAAATTATGTAGAACCAGTCCTAAACTTATTCTCCCATTCTCTACAGATAAGGACACAGATTATTTACTCTAACTTTAAAAAATATATATTTTTTTAATTTATTTTTTTTAAATTAACCTATAATATATTATTTCTTTCAGGGGTACAGGTCTGTGAATCATCAGTCTTACACAATTCACAGCACTCACCATAGCACATACCCTCCCCAATGTCCATCACCCAGCCACCCCATCCCTCCCACTCCCCTCCAGCAACCCTCAGTTTGTTTCCTGAGATTGAGAGTCT